ATTTAAAATAGCGATGTTGCTACTGGTTTAGAGTAGAAGCGGCAACACCGCATGGTCAAAAATATTTTCAAGGGTAGATCCATCATAGTCGTTTATCCCGGTTTCCAAATTTTCACAATGATCCGCTATTTAGTTCTTAATAAACTAGGGCTGTAAAAGTAACGAAAATATTAATTAATACTCGTACGTATTCGTTACTTTTGATATTAATATTCGTTACTAAATATTCGTTACTCGTTACTTCCGTTACTCTAGTATTCAGAGGATAGGAAAGATACCTACTTATGCGAAAAAGTAGAAAAGTGACTCATTCGCCATTCGCATTTGTTCCGATTATCGAATAAGTATTGTCGGGATTCGTATTTTCAATATTTGACAATAATAAATATACCCAAACTGTCTAAAAATATTTGAAAATTTGTTTATAGAATTTATATGAAAAATCTTTGGTAAATGTTCAAAAAAACAAAACATTTCGTAGAGATGCGACTGATGCAAGTAACGAAAGGCGGCCGACAGTAACGAATCCGTATTTCAAATCCGAGACAATACTCGTTACTCGGTAACGAATACATACGGTTTGTCACAGCCCTACAATAAACGTCTAATACGCCATTCACCGTGGGACACCCCATACATAGGGTACATTCAGGTGATGCCAGCGGCTAAGTTCAGCCACTCAGCAGGAACTTTATTCTCGAAACAGGGAAGCAGCGTTCTCATGAGAGCGAAGGTTCTGTCTTCGTCATATGTATTCATGTTTCCATATTTAATACCTTTTTAGAAGTACCGGTTGTTCTAGTGACTAAACGTATGTCGCTTCTTGAACACACAGATAAAACTAGGTTAGGAATTTCCTATTTGTACATGAAATTGACGTATTAGCAATCGACGTTCGTTTTTGTTGGTAAATATGTATAACACTGACAGCGACAGAGCAATCGTTCTCATGAGAACGCTGTTCCTCGGTTTCGAGAATAAAGTCCCTGCTGAGTTGCTGAGCTTAGCCGCTGGCACCGCCTGATTAGTCGTGTTCTTTCTACTCAGGATCTCACTTATTCTCATTTTACTTCACTTACTCACTTACTTACATATGATTTACTCGAATAACCTCACCACTTCATCCCAAAATGAGATGAGACGAGCCGTAGAAAGAACACGCCTAATGTACCCATATATTATACGATATATCGATACGTCCGCGATAATGGAGCACATCGATACAAATTTGTCATATCCATATGACAAATATATAATTTGTAAAATCTGTTTTTTTTTTTAAGATAAAAGTCAAAATGACATTATGTTGGCAATACAATGTAAAATTGTCATTGCTTTCAAATTTTTTATGTAGAAAAGGCTTGTGTTGCCAACTTAGTTAGTAAATTTTTGACTTGGGGAATTATCTTTAAAAAAAACCAGACTTTATGTCAGAATTTCATTTGCCATTTCATTATTGTCAATAGTTTCAATATTAGGTGGTTTCGGCTTGCTCACTCCGTGCCCTCCGAGTGACTCCATTCGCACTCCAGCCGATCGGGTATTGCTTTTTGGCGTATTAGGGGTGACTCCATTAGCGTTCGACTATACGAAGTGAAGTACATGGAGTTCACTCCAAAAGTTCCACCTCGGAGAGAGAATTTTTTAAAGTAAGCATGCGCCGAAGTGAAATGCGGAAACTGTCAAGCTTGTTGTGTTGTCACGGTGTGGTTGTGGGGGGGCTAGCGTTAATCTGCCTCCCCTCCCCTAACGATCGCAACCCCTGTTATTTTCGCGGGGGTTGGTGCGCTAGCGTTAATCTGCCTCCCCTCCCCTAACGATCGCAACCCCTGTTATTTTCGCGGGGGTTGGTGCGCTAGCGTTAATCTGCCTCCCCTCCCCTAACGATCGGAACCCCTATTATTTTCGCGGGGGTTGGTGCGCTAGCTTTTAAAAGTGGTGCGCTAGCCTGCGCTAGGTGTCCTTATTCTGCGCTGGCATTTTGAGACAAAAATATTAACTGGGGGGGGCTAGCGTTAATCTGCCCCCCCCCTCCCGATCGCATCCTCTGCTATTTCCGCGGGGGTTGGTGCGCTAGCTTTTAAAAGTGGTGCGCTAGCTTTTAAAAGTGGTGCGCTAGCCTGCGCTAGATATCCTCTATCTGCGCTAGCTTTTTGAGCAAAAAAATTCAACTGGGGGGGGCCACCTTAACTGAGCCGAACTTATGGCTGTTCGCAGATTTAGGAACAATCTACATACGTTTCTATATTTGCGAACGGTCAAAAATTGACCACCAGGCGACTATTGGCGTACTAACGTAGGGAGCCATCAGCTCGCATTTCTTTGGAGTATCAGACTATAAAAGTTGGATTGTACGGGAATTTTGACTTTATATATAAAATCAAGTTTCAAGAGAGGTACAGAGTATTAAATGGTAAATACACAACAACAAACAGACAAAATAGAGCCAGTAAATCAAAAGAAGAACAGGACTGGCTTCCAGCATTTTAACAATAAGAAGATCAGAGATCAAAAATAAAACAAGAAGAACAGGGCGGCTTCAGGAAATCTCTAAATTTCAGCGTGAATGATTGAAACATTGAAACCATAATCCATGAGGAACAGACTCAGGAATATTCTGGAAGGACAAGTTAAATAGTTGAAAGTGTTCATTAGGATGTTGGTTGGAGCTATTCGTCAAGAAGTTGGAATTGTGTCAGCCTCCAACCGGTATTTGAGTTAAGCCACCACCATAGGATGGGCAGACATCACAGGTGATATACAGGCGTAAGTTCGAGACTGTTGTAATGGATATGGTTGGAGCTCTGATCACATGGCTACAGGCTTGAATTTCATGGCTCTGATACGTTATGTATCGTAGTAAACGTCTCTTCAACGGGTAGATGAAGGCGTTGCTCCTTGATGTAAATTGTAGGGTTGCAATCAGTTTAAATCGGAGAATTGCAGTGAGAAATTGAGTGAAGGTGATGGCTGATTAGAGGATTCCGTAAAGTCAATTAGTTCGATAAAACTTCGATAAAAATAGTTACGATGAAGGTTTCTGAGAACCAAGAAAAGTATGAACAGTTGCTTGAAGTAACCATAAGAATCGTTTATGATACAGATTTGCTCAATAAGGACTTTTGGTATTGTGTTTAAAAGAACCTTCATAAATAGTCTGAAGCAGTTTACCCATAACTATGTCTTCATGAATATTCATACTGAAAAACTTCCTCTTTGACCAATCTTTAAGTGTTTTTAGCAACCCATTCATAGCCCGACCAAACTATTTCAACATTTTTTTGGTCCCACGGATAGCTTCGCTAGCGATTCTACAATCCACTAGCAGGTGGTTTTATAAGTAGAGCTTCCGAAAGTGGTGCTTCTCCATGAGAATTAAATCAATAGCGCATAAGCCGTGAATATATAATTTATACATATATGATATCATTTGCAAACTACTTGTAAAATTGGGCTGTTTATCATTGTTTCACATAACGCAATTTTGAAAAATTTGACTCATAATCTTCCTGATGACACACAGATCTAACAATTAATTATTATCTACTTCCAATACAACAACCAGTGTTACCAGCAAAAAGACGTTACTGCAATGAAAAATCGGCTAAGTAATGGCAAACTTAATATATATTAATTATATATTAATATTAATGATATATTAAAAAGATCCAGTATGCTCGTCAGTCCATAACCAAGGTTCATTTTTTCTCAGCAGATTGCTTGTTTTTGTTGAGAACTCTGGGACAAATTTACGGAGATAGCCAGCAAGACCTTGAAATTGTCTGACTTCCCTAACATTAGATGGAAGCGATAAAGCCATCAAAGCGTGTTTGATAGACTGCCTTTTGATATTACTCGACCCAAATATTCAACCTCTTCTTTTAAAAACTAGAAAGTCCTTCTTTAATTGTAAACGAAGGTATAAGAATATAATCCAAGAAAGGAGAACTAATCCCTTTTGTATTTCATTTTGTAATGCGATATTAATTGCACGCTGAAAAGTTGAAGGAGCATTGAAAAGGCCAAAAGGAATGCGTAAATATTCATAGTGACCGGGTCCATTTGTCTATAAATTGTTTTAAAAAAGTTTTCACTTTTGACATGACAAAAATAATTTTTGAAACGACATTTTCAACAGACATGGTGGCTAATTTGAGGTGGGTCTTTTTTTCGGTTACCTGGAAACTGGTAATGATTGATATGTGGTAAAGTGTTGCTATGGAGTAAAGTGGCACTTTACCATTCAATTTTGAATGCAGTTATGTATCACATTACTGTCAAAAATGCGACCAATAGTATATTACATACCGAGTAGGGAAGTGTTTCATTACTGTCGAGAGATTGACTATTAATCTCGAGACAGAAATGAAAACTTTCCTCCGAGGTTTGTATACTATTTTATTTGCAAGCACGCCATTAATTATGATTGGTCATTTAATTTTTTTAATAATAAAAAAATTAAACAAATATGACAAAATGTGTCATTCACTATTTTGAAGTTTTTACCTGACATGTTCTCATTGTTGCCAGCAAAGGTAAATAAATTACAGTGAGGGAAATCGGTGAGGGAAGTCGAATAGGGAAATCGGTGAGGGAAATCGAAGCGGGAAGTGACACAGGTAAAGTGACACTTCTAAATTTTTAAAAAATCAATAATGTCAAGATTACATATATGGTTGCAAATAAAAGAATTTATTTACCTGGATTTGGGAATTACAAAACTACGCGTAACATGCGATCGTAAAATCCGAAACTCAAAACAGAAAACAAAAAGACCTAGAGGAACACCCTTTCTGAAGCTCTGGTATATATAAGCAAGAGACGCTTCAAAAAGTGAATTATTGGTCTGGTTCCGGGTATTTTATAAAGTTGCAGCAAGTATTCTGCTTGATGGTACAAGCGCCTTGCTTGCTTCATCTATAAATTGATGCTTTGGTATCAGGATCAGTTGCCCTTGGCACCAGAAGCCAGTCATTTTTGTAAAAAAAGGTGAGCAAGTAATTTTCTCTAGAAACCTCAATCCAATTCTGATTTTGTATTTAGATTTTCCCTCAAAGTCCTTGATAAACGATCACGTAAAATAGATAAAGTAAAATACAATGTGTATAAATCTCATCGCTTAGCCTTTTTTTTCGAAATCATCCTAAAAGAGGGTAGAAAAACAGCCTAAAATAATTCATTTTTATATTGAGTGTGTTTTGTATGAAAAGCTGACGTCCATTTCCACCCCTGCTTTAGAAATTTCCCGCTGCGAAAAGTGCTTTTCTCGAGCCGTTATGCATGTCCTGATGGAGAAAGTTTTGTTAAGTAATTCCATATAAAAACCGGGAAAAGGTTATCTTAAAAAGATCTTCTTTCTCGAATTTTGATTAGGCGTATATCACAGCCGGTTCATGCAATAAGCTTCGAATTAAAAAAACAGGAAGCTCTCAGCAATTTAATAAGAAAATTAAGCCCAGCTCTGACAATACAATTTGTATTAAAACTCAAAGTCATTGCAGATATAGCTAATAAAGATAACCGCTTTATCTTTAAACAACAAAGCAACCAAAACTAAATATTTTTTCATCAGTACACATTCGAGTAATGGCTGATAACGACGTTGTAACTCTCGAAGATTGCAAAACAATCGTAAACAATTACCTCAACAGTGAAAATTTCGATATAAAAAATGTGACAGTGAGACCATTTTTTGATCACGTGAACGGATTTCTCGGTGAACACCTGTTACTTCAGATAGAAACCAACGATCAACAATTACGATTTTTCTTAAAACGATTTCCACATGAGCACGTCATGCAAAGAGACTTTTTGCTATCCATGAACGGCTGGCAAAGGGAAATTTATTATTTTGACGAATTTTTAAAAAATATTGCCAACACCCTACCTAACTACCAACTAGACTTTGTGCCGCAATTTCTACTAGGGAAACCAAACGACATTGTAGTATTTGAAGATCTTACCTTGCGAGGTTATGGAATGTCAAAGATGCCAAGTGACAATTTATTGGACGATCAGCACATATGCTTAGTGTTAGCATCTCTAGCCAAACTGCACGCAGGGTCTTTGGCTTATGAAGAATATAAAAGCAAAGAATTGGGACAATGCTTCAGATTGTTTACTGGCAAAGAAGATTTAGCTAAAGAATCATTGATACGCAAGGAAGAAGGATTTCTCGGTTACGATTTTGTGAAGGCTGCTCAGAAAGGCTTAAGCGCACTCATAAATAAAGTTCATGAATCTTGTGAAGTTAGCTTAGAAGAAGTTCAAGAAAAATACCAGATATTAGTTGAAAATAGTTTACAATTAATGTTCCCTCACAATAAATTCCGGTGTGTTTTGGCCCATGGTGATCTTTGGGTTAAAAATGTTATGTACCATTACAAACACGATTCAATGGTACCGACCCATGCTATCCTGGTGGATTTTCAGCTAACACGCTACAACGTGCCAGTACATGATGTTTTACTGTTCATTTCACTTACAACCAATCAAGAAGTAAGAAAAAACAAGTTCCATTTTTATTTAAATTATTACTATGACCATTTAAAACAAGAACTTAGTAACGTTAATATTGACGCAGACGAAATTCAAATGTCTTATGATGATTTTCTGAGATCTGTCCATTTTATTATGCCCGAAATAAAATTTCAAGGGCCCCTACAAAGACTGCAACAGTGCGGCAATAAGGATTTTTACACTAAACTTTTAAAAGACGCAGAAGCTTTCAAACAATTTATTTTTGGTGATAAAACTCCATTCGCTCTGGACCTATTTGAGACTGATGATAATTTTAGAAGCCTCCTAACTGAAGCTGTAGAGGAACTTATTGAAGCCTCATTGTATCCTGATGTTTTCAGAGAGGATTGTTATAGGATTTTGGAAAATGAGTTTGGACATGCATATGATTTGGAAAAGTTCAAGGTTGTGAAAAAGGATGATTTGTTCGAACTGGAAATGGAGGTGTTGGTGGATGAAAAGAAGAAGATAATGAAGTATTTGGTGAAGAGTGAAGATTTTGTGAGGGTTGTGAAAAAATTGTAATAAATTTTTAACTCTATTTCGTTTTTTTTTTTTTAAATTTTTGACATTCCAAGTGTAGAAGAAGTTTAAGAAAACCATGCTGGAGTGGAGAAATTCTATTTGCTTGGGAAGCATTTGAAATTGATGATAATTCCAGAAGCTTGACTGAACCCGTGGAGTTTTCGATTGAGAAATGTTTTCCTGATGGGATTTTCTGGCTTCGACTTTTCTCAATCATCTGCTGATTTCACCCTGCCGAAACCTCGAACATGAACAGCACTCTGGTCTAAATTCCATTAATATGGTTGGAGAAGCATTGCTGAAAGCAGGGATAATGCATCATCACTAACCATTCATGTACAAATGACCGTTGGTGCGTCCAATGTTCCTGCTGGACGTGAAGTAAGCAGGCGATTTCTATAAACCGAACTATCTCTGAAAATAAAAGGGTTGCTAATTTGAGGATCGAAGCACTAAGCACACGATTACGTGAGATTTTACTTTTGCGCTTCACGCATACCTGCCTACTTCACAGAGCAAGCGAGCCCTTGGATTCTATTGAATGTTCTTTAATAAGCACCAAAATTTATGCCGAATATTTTAAAAATAATCATGTCATCATTATGTTTTGCACCCTTTTGTCGAATTCAGCAACGCGGAATTTGCTGAAATAAAAAACGTGATATGCCGGCCTACTGGTTTTGTTCCTGCTGGTGCATCGGAATCGCGTTTGCTCTGATTTTTTGTAGTATAACATAGTCGGGTTCGTTCAGCAAATTGTACGGTGTGAATTTGTATCTCTTTTTAAACATCAAATCTTCTAGAGAACGAAATGAAAAACAAATAGGACCTACGTTGTGTAAACTTACTAAACTTACTCAATTTTACTTTCTTGACATGTGCCCGACAATAGCAAAATTAGGGAAACTTGAGGGAAGTTGTGATATGTAAAAATAAACGAAAAATTTGTGAAACGTCTACTTTATTATTAAAGTAAATCGTACCGTTCCCGACCTAGAACTAACGGGAAAGAGCAGGAATCAAAACATACTGTGTCATTTCAATAATAATTTTAAGTCGATAATCAATAATAATATTGTAAGTCAATAACAGTTTAAATTAGGTACCACCCCTGTGCTTGTGCTAAAATTTTAATTCCACACACCACATTCAATCAACACTACCTAAATTTAATACTGAAGAGTTTTTGGTTAGTTAGCCAGTTCCACCAACAGGTACTGAGGTCCCATACGGGATGCTATTCAGCTATAGTTATTTTGAGCCAATAGCTCTTTGCTTTATTTCCTAGGATATTCACTCGTCAGGGAAGGAAAATGTAAGTAGATTCAACAAAGCCCTAATGCACTTTCTGAATACCAAAAATTAAAATCCCAGCACATAATTTCTTTAGATTTTAATTTACTTTTTCTTTATCTGAGTTGTTTACAGCATGAAAAATAATAGTTGTATGAATTGAACTCTCGAAAACAAAATAACAATTATTCAACTGACCTGTGAATGCTCCTTATGACATACAAACTTATCACAAATTGGATTAAACAATCAGTGTAATACAAAATAAAAATAAAAATTGAATAATGAACAATAGCAGACAAGCGTCTTCTCTCTAGTTCCTCATTTTTCTGTCTACTACCCTTCGGTACCTTTTTGTGGCGCGCTGGTTCGCCCTTACTTGACAGCGTATATTTGGTTGCAACATTTAGGTACTTTTCTTTACTAAACGTTTTAAGAGTTTAAGATTTGAAGAAATAATATTTTAAATACCTAGGTGGTTTTCCTCATTCCCAAGGAATTGTCTCCCTTTGATTCGGAGGGATCATTATTCATGAATTATTATAGGATGAAAATAAACAGCTAATAGAAATATCATGCCCAAGTATATTTAAATAAAATAATTCACCGAAAACGACTAATAAAACAAACCGAATCGCCTCATTTCCTTTCCTTCTTTTTACGTAATAAAATCCGAAAAGAAAAGTTTACTTAATTTCCCCGATAGTTGCCGCCATCACGTTAAATGAACCGATCGCTGATAAATTGGGTAAACAATCTGACGATGGGGGAAAGCAGAGAGAAGTTTTTCCGTATTTTTATTTGCGTAATTTGCACAAAACGCGAACTTTTTTTCGCGAATAAGCGAGGAAACAGAACCAAAAAGAGTGTAGAGAACAAACATCGCAATAACGTCACCTTTATTGCTCGGAAAATGAGAGTATTTTTCGCTTTAGGCGTTTACTGATAACGTAGATAGAATCATTGCGATTTTTCAATTTTCCTTTAGCGTATTTGGTTTACCCTCAAATAGCTCTTTAGTCCTTAATGTTTATCAAATTAAATCAAACATGGCTTATTGTCTGTGCGACTGAAATATATTGATTGTGAAATTAAAACAAGTAAAGTAAGTATGAACCTAATATGTATAATATTTTACAATAAAACTATAAATAATTTAAAACCTCAGAAAAAACAAACAATATACTTGAATATCATATAAAAATAAATAAATACATCCAATAATTATTATACCCTAACAAACCTCTGAGAAGCATTTTGATTTGTATGAGAACGATACACCTAACTTAAATTCACAGAAGCATTTTGTTCAGATGTAAATCAGCCTTAGCAATAAAGAAGCTCGCTGGTAAGTCTTCCATTGTATTTTATCGATTCACTATATAATCCTGGCTATATAAAATCAATCTGAAAGCATTTGTTCGAACCAGCAAATTCCCTTGTTCTTTTTCTCAAGAACAAAATTTAAAAATAATCCTTGAATGCCCATAAAACCTTTTCAAAATGTCATTTCGAAAACACGCTGCTGCGTTTTTATTGATCGCCTGAAGCCCTAGACCAAAGGTCAAAACAAGAGGATGTCTCAATCTTATGCGATTCACTTAACAAATTCTTGGTCTTTTGACCCTCTCTCCAACGCCCAAGCACCAGGGGGGGTGTTTTATTGCACCACTTCGACAGGTTTTCGCCTGCTATTATCGGAAAATCGAGTCGGGGGTGAAATAACACGCTGTGAAATGGCCACCATAAGTACGGAGGATGAAAAAAGATGATCACGGAAAACATGCAGAAGTGAAAATAAAAAACAAATGAATCTACAGAAACGTTGCACTTTCTCATAAATTCGAGCAGATGACAAACATCGATTTGAAAGCAGAATTAAGGCATGACTTAGCAATCTTAGCACCTATTGTTCCGAGCTTCCCCCGCGTATTAAAGGATTTGTTGAAGTCGCTAATTCTCAGAATTAAGTCTCAAATCCCTCTAAGTTGCTTTTGTTTTTATTATTATTTTGATCATTGTATTTATATTTCTATTGTCTTGCGGGTGTAAGCCTATATTTTTCATTTGATTTTATTCGTTCACGGGGTGGTCCGAAAAAGAAATAGTTATTTTCGAACAAGGACGGTAACTAATGCTTTGCAGGTGAGCGTGGGAGAGCCAATTAGTTATCACGCGTGTGATATTTTTCAAATATTTATTACAAAATTGACCACAACCTATTTTTGTAACTGGATGGTTCTTAGAACAGATTGACTCCAAATACTTATTTATCTTGAGTGAGACAAATTTTAAAGAGATGTCACTGAAGAGGACCAAATTTTTCCGGAAATTCCGCTTCGCAAATCCAAGACGTATTTAGAACTCTTTTCTCATAACTGAAAAATGTCTGGAAATATGCCCTGCCTTCTTAAAAAAAAGTAAATTAAACTTTTTAGTAATTTTGGGCAAACCACGTCGGTAAGTTAAATTTTCCGCACGCTCACAAAATAACATTATGTATTTATGCCATTCTCCATGATTCCAAAGGGGCATCCAGGAGTGAAAGTCATCCATGAAATATATGGAATATTTTCCACACAAAGAGCGCATTATCGATGTATGAAAACCCCGGAGAACACCTCAAACTCAAACCTCTATTCTATACTAACGTGAATGGAAAAAAACTAGAACATTTTCCAGGCAATATGAGGTAATGCGTGTAAGCATCCAGACACTACAAAGTCGAGTGGTCCTTTTGAACATGTTCAAACACTCGAGACAAGAGTGGGAGCGAGAGTATGTGTACAAACTGGCGAAAGAGCAAACAGGATTTTTAGAATAATGGAGGACTCCTAGTTTACTAGTTTGTAGTTTTTTTCAATTTACTTTTTAGTTTGTGTACTTTGGGGATTTTGTGTTGGCTGAGCTGAAAATATCATGCGAACATCGGTGCTTTTATGTTTAATATATGGCAATAGAAATACATTATTTTTAATAAAAAAAGGCACTTTTGGTCACTGAATATACTGCACCATAGATAATGGGAATACGTACGAAGAGACGGGAAAGCTTTCTGAGTATGGTCTATTCTGTGTAATTTTTTCATCTTTGCTTTTTAAATTATTGATGTCTGTGTTAAATTTTTAATTTATTATCTAGGCATACTAAGATATATTTTATCCGAACCATTTCTAATTTGCCTTATTATTTGGAACTTGTAACTCCCTATTTTGTTTAACCGCATGAGACTGAATATCTCTATCTTGAAATTTTGTTGTTTATACAGTGTCCCCCTAATGTTCGCTACATCTGGGGAAATTTTTTATTTGTCGGATATGGATTTTTTTTTTCTTATGTGCGATGGATCCTGCATGTCCGATAACCTAAAAGTACATTTTGACATCGGTCACGTGATCACTGTTTTGGCGGCAAATTCGAAAATTTAGATATGGAAACGCGAAAAGTGGGGTAAGATGGCAAAATTTCGAAAAAAGTAAATTGGAAAAAGTAATTAACATGATGTTTTAAGGCTGTCTGCGAAATTTGGAGGAAAAATATCAAAAAACAGGAAATGACTTGCCTTTAGCCATGGATCTCTAATCAAATATTATTATACAATTTTTATTATGAAATAGTCCAAGTACCTACCTCAATATTTAATGTGTATTGGTAAAACAAACCTAAATTCTTCATTGGAATGATTCCTAGAGGATTAAATAAAAATATTCGACTTGCACATGAAACTTTTCTGTAGCAATACCCTGGTATATTGCCAGTTTCTGATATTTCCAATAACTAAATGTTGATACTACAATTGAAAAGATTCGTTTTTGAGATTTTTTATTAAATATTTCAATACAGTTCTAAAACACCTTACTTAACTATCAAGATACAGGGTATTGCTACAGAAAAATTTCATGTACTAATCGAATATTTGTATTTTATTCTCTAGGAATGATTCCAATGAAGAATTTGAGTTTGTTTCAGCAATACACATTAAATATTGAGGTATTTGGACTATTTCAATAATAAAAACTCTATAATATTAGTTGATAAGAGACTCATGCCGAAAAACAAGGAATTTCCTGTTTTTTCTTATTTTTCCTCCAAATTTCGCAGACATCCCTAAAACATCGTTCTAATCACTTTTTCCAAATAACTTTTCCCGAAATTTTGCCATCTAACCCCACTTTTCGCGTTTCCATATCTAAATTTTCGAATTTGCCGCTACAACAGTGATCACGTGACAAAAAATGTCAAAATGTACTTTTAGGTTATCGAACATGCAGGATCGATCGCACATAAGGAAAAATTCCAGAAGTCATTCATTTTAATTTGTCAAAAAAATTGAATGTGTCATATGAATTAATCTACGACAACCCTTTTTTTCCAAATTATGGCATGTTCGATGTCAAAAGTATGAACCCTGGTGAAACGGACCTTAGGTACATTTACTTGTATACAAAGTCAATACATACAAACAAAAACAAAAATTATACTTTACAACACAGCACAAATTAACTGGAACAATAAGGCTCTTTCTATAAATATGATTTTAGAGCTATGCGACATTTAGGAATAAGAGATTATATGATGATTTTCGTTGTACATACAGAATGGAGCAGTTAATTAAAATAGAGGATGGGCTTCCCAGGTAAATATCATGCTCCGCGTTTCTATGTGAATAGTTATGGAATGGCCTTTCTGAAATATTTGATGGGTGTTTGCAAATTTAGCAGAATAATTTAAGTATGATTGAGGTCATTGAGGAAGGAAATGTTCATATTTAATATATTTTTTTAAAAATCTTCACAATGGTTTCTATTCTTCAATCTTATAGAATATCAAATTCTGTGATTTAAAGATACAATTAAACTGAGTCACATAGTACGTACTCCAGAATCGCAGGGCATATCGAAGTAAAGAAGAATGTTCTGGAAGTTGACAATTTAAGTTCCTTGGAAACTGATCTTATCGCAAAACGAGCGGAACTAAGTATCTCCTTTCATCACATCATGACTTTGTCTATAAAGGTACCTATATATCTTCTAAGTGAAACTAGTATCAAAGCAAAGAGACAGGACCCAGCACGGAACCATGTGGAACTCTACATTCTATTGGCTTACATGAAGGCATCGTCGTATTAACCCTCACAGGCTGTTTTGTATTGTGGAGATGCAACCTGAACCATTCCTCGAATTTCGTAGTACTGCAATTTGTTAGCTTGGATATTATGACTCACACAGTCGAATGCTTTAGAAGACTCACAGAAAATTGATGCTGTATGGTGCAGATTGTTCCGGCTGCAGTAAACATTATTGGTGAGTGTCATATATGTATTTGCATATTGTTTAATTACTTTGGTTGGAACCCGGTAACACACAAATCGATCGTATGAGATCGATTTATATCGTGGTTTATAAAATGTACGATGCATAAAGATTGGAAATAAATGACAGTTGGTTTTTGAGATTAGGCTGAGATATTTTATTTTCATATGGCGCAGTCGGTAAAAGTGGTTTAAACGGCCAGTCACGTGAATTAGTGATAA